GTTGTGTGCCTTCAAGTCATTTCTAACTTATGGTGACCATAAGGCAAACCTATCACAGCGTTTTCTGGGCAAGATTTGTTCAGAGGGCGTTTGCCATTGCCTTCCCCTGAGGCTGAGAGAGTGTGACTTGCCCAAGATCCTATCTTATAAGTATGTATGAACTATCACATGCAAGGTATAGGTGTGTGTGTGTGTGTGTGTGCAGGAGGATGGTTTCCAAAATAGAGGAGAGGTTGCTTTTTGGACCACAACTCCAAATGGCCTCGCAGATTGGTTGGCAGAGTGTGAAATGTGTACTCCTAAAAGTGACTGGGGAGCATGGGAGTTGTAGTCTAATAACAATGTGGTAGGACACGTTTGCCCACCCCCCGGTCCTGGGGAGAAAGGGGAGAAACCCCTCCCAACCAGGCACCCACCCAAAACCTTTACATGACCAACCTTCTCTTAGCAGATCTGGTTCATCAACACCTTCCCCGGCTCCGCCCCTTCGTCCGAGCTCCTAGGACGCATGCGCACTCCCTACTCTGAGGGCGTGGGCTTGAAAGAACCTCTGCCCTTCTTCGGGCAAACTGAGCATGCGCGGTGTGAGCTGTGCTTGCAGAGATGCTGCTGCTGGGTGCTTGCATTTGCTTTAGTGCTAATGGGAAGGTAGCTTTCCTGAAAGCACCCATTAATGCTGAACCCTTCCTAACAATAACTCTTCTTGCCAGCTCTTAGGGCTGGGGCTGGGATTGTAGACAAGGAGCTCGGAAGGAAATGAAATTTAGAAAATTTAGAAAAAAAAATACACTGATGATTTAATTATTAAGGAGGGCTCATTGATTTCAGTGAGTCTTGTTTATATGAGTGAGTACTTTAGACTGAAGATTACAGGGGACAGAGCCTGTGGTTAGAGTATGCATCTTCCCTTTAAGAATCAAAACCCCCCTAATAAGAAATAAATTAATTATTTCCTATCAGGGGGATTCTGATTCATAAAGGGAAGATACATACTCCAACCACAGACTCTATCCTCTGTAATCTTCAGCCTAAACCTTTACAGTGTGTGTGCATACACACACACACACACACACACACACATATATATGCTGTTTGTAAATGCACCCCCCTTAAACACAAGAGTGTTATACAGAAATAAGATCAATATATCATTTAACAGTGCAAGCTTATCCCTCTAGTCCTTTCCTAATTTTCAGCTGAGGCTGCAAACTTGCATTGTATACAGCTCTGCCTTGTAAATCAAGACTGCAAATGATGATGATGATGATACCTGGGTCAATTTGAAAATATTTAGCAGGAGATTTTAAAGCAAAGGCTGTGATGGTGTTGAAAAATACAGCTAAGTACTTTTTTATCTAAAGAATTTTGTGGCTTCTCTCTATCAGTTCAAGAAATTATTTTTCTTAATCTTAATCTACTCGTTTTGGAGTGTACATAACTTTAATTTGGAAAACAGAAGGGACTCTTGTGTTTGCCATAAAACAAATTTCAAAATTCAGGGCAACAATACTGTAATAGATGTAGCTTTAAAAGCATGTGCAGATTATCTTTGAATCTATGCTACCCTCTACTGGCGAACAATCCAAAAATCAGAACATTTGAGTTGAAAATCTCCTTTGAAATATAGTACTGTACAGTCATTTCTCTGACAAAGCTTCTTTTTACTCCTCTTTTCTTCCTTGGGTGCATCCACACTGCAGGATTAAAGCAGTTTGACACGACTTTGGTCCAAAACACACTGTAGAAACAACCCAGTTTGACTGCTTTAACTACCCTGGCTCAATGCCAGGGAATCCTGGGATTTGTAGTTTATTGCAGCACTAGAGCTCTCTGACAGAAAAAGCTAAATGTCTCACAAGACTCCAGTTCCCAGAATTCTCTAGCATTGAGCCAGGGCAGTTAAAACAGTCCCAAACTTGATTATTTCTGCAGTGTGCTTTGGACCTTTAACTGCAATGATTCTATTCTACAGAATCCTAGGCTTTGCATCAGAGCTCTGACACAGCAGGCTGAATACCTCACCAAACTACAAATCCCAGGATTCTGTAGGCTAAAGTCATGGCAGTTAAAGCGGTGTCAAAACAGTGGTACATGCTCTGGTACTGTCCTTTCTAGATACATGGAGCATGTGTTGAAGGCAATCCTGGTTCAGTGTTTCTCAAACTTTGGTCCTCCAGATGTTTTGGACTTTAGCTCCCAGAATTCCTGATTGTTGACCCAACTACCTAGGGCTTCTGGGAATTGAAGTCTAAAACACATGGAGGGCCAAATTTTGGGAAACATTGGCAGCCAGAATTATAATCAGGCAGAATTCAGTTATGCAAACCCTGAAGGAGTTGCCCTGGCTATCTATTCCTTTCTTAGCCCAGTTTAGGCTACTAGTGCTTACCTTTAAAGCCCTAAGTGGCTTTGGGCTCAAAATATCTGCAGGAGCATTTCTCTCCATAACAGCTTGTTAGTGACTTAAATCCATCAGGATCTTCTCCAGCTGCCACTTTGCATCAAATAGTGGTCTTCATCTGTGGAAAGCCTTCTTCATGAAGATGTGATTGATATCAGTGCTGAAATTGTTTTGAGTCCCTTTTGATTTGCCTTTTAACTGGCCGTTTTGGACTCCTGTTATTGCTATTGTTGTATTCAGTGCTTTTCTTTCTATTTTATGACAGGTATTTAGAGGTCATATGGTGCCAGTGAATTTTTATTGTTTTAACTATATTTGTATAGTTGCCCATGTATCTGTAAGGCTGTTTTAAAATGTTTAAATAAAGATGCTCAACTGGCATATTTGCAAACAAATGCAGATTCTACAAAATGCCAGTAAGCCTCAAGTGATCTCACTTCAAATGAAATCTGAAAAATGTTAATGCACTGGATTTTGCTATGCAAAGAAGGAGTGGTGCAACAGCGCCAGCAGAAGAGTTAGCACCAATTACATTGTTTATGGAGCAACTGCAAGAGGACACCTTGGCGTGTCTAAACAATAAATCCTCTTTTAATCTAACTTGAATAATTTGGTTTGAGTGTTGGACTACAACTCTGGAGACCAGGGTTCGATTCCCTGCTTGGCCATGAAACTCACTTGGTGACCTTGGGCAAGTCACACTCTCTCAGACTCAGAGGAAGGTAAGGGCAACAAACGTTGCCAAGAAAACCCCATGACAGGCTCACCTTAGGGTCATTTGAAGGCACACGACACTTTTGAGGTCCTCGATTTCTCTAGTATAAGTAGTCCCTCAACAGATGTAGATTAGAGCTATTCAACATTGCTGTGCTCCCTGTGGCCATTCCATGGCTGTTATCACACGTGAGTCAGAAAGCGATAATAAAGTGGAAATGAGGCATTCCGAAAATAAACCAAAAATAAACCTTGATTCCGCAAATGGCTTTCACATGTAATTACCTTAATTGCAAAATTACAGTAAGCACATTTAACATTCACACACAAGCGAGAAAAGCCCGCAAATGTACTAGAAATGAGCTTCTTGCACATGCGCAGATAGAAGAATGCTTGCCGTGGAACCATGGGAAAAAGGGAAATGCTCCCAAATGCGCATTTGCGTTTCACATTACGGTAAATACGAAATTACTGTAATTTCGCAAATTCATTTCCTCAAAACTACCAAATTTCAAAAGATCTCGGATAACATCAGTTTCTTTCCACTTTCTGTCCAGTTTCTGTGAGACGTTGTGTGAAAACGTGAGGCACAAATCCAGTTTTTGTTTGGGATTTGTGTGGATTAACCAGCAGATTTGCCCCCGTGTGATAACATCCTATGTGGCTTATTCCCAACTTCTTGGGTGCCACCTGCCACAGACAAGAGTTAAAGTCCTTCATTATGGAATAAAAACTGATCCATTAGGCATAATGGACATCTGATGAAATAGAGAGAACCCCTGGGATATTGTCATCTCTAAGCAGAGACTTATAGAAAGTAGAGGGGAAAGTGTACAAAGGTTTCTGTTGCTTTGTACATCAAAGAAATCCTCAAAGGGGTGGAGTTTTCTATAGAACTCTATAGACTTTTCTGCAGTAGTATAATAATGTGCTGTCACGTCCCTTCCCAGCATAAAATGTTCAAGGTGATCTTTGAAAGCAGTTTGAAATTAGTAAATTGCTTAAAGGGAATGTGCCTCCTTCCCCCACCCTGGCACAAAATACTCATAATGATCTCTGGATGAAATATGAAGTTAGTGAATCGTTCAAAAGGGAAAATGTTATAGTAATGGCTTACTTCAGTTACCCTTACGTAGAAATTGTAGGTGTCCCAAATGTCTGTGCCCAGAGTAGAGTAGCCTGCCCAAGACCTACTATGAGATACTAATCTTCTAGTTCAGTGCTATTTAAAGTGGTGATCAACAGTGAGTTTCCAAGAAATTATGCAAATAATAGTACTGGATCCTGGCACAT